CCCCCCCCCCAGCGCAAGAGTATGGTTGGCACTCATGGGGAGGGCAATCATCGACACGAGATAGGCCTGCCAAAAGTAAACCATTTCCAACAACAGCGGGTAGTCCCGTCTCCAACGTATCTTTGCTAGGCACCGACAGCTGCTCCGTTTGGGAGAGAAAGCACGCTACGCCTCGGGGCATGCTGGTATGGCATGAATAGGTGTGGTAGGGTATGGTACGGTGTGGCACACCATATTACCGGTGGACGTGACACCCCCGTGGGCGATGGTAAACACACCGTCACCCCACCAGGCGATGTGTGCCAACACTTTGGCCTCTACCCTCTCTCTCCACGATTGACATTAGGGGGGGGGGGGGGGGGGGNACCTCGCATCCCTACAAAGCCGGGACGGAGCACGCCGGGTTCTCACCGGACCAGGCTCTCACATCACCAAGCGCGAAGCGCCGTGAGATATTCGGCGAGTCGCATGAAGGGTGCGCTGCATCCTGCTAAGGGTGTTCGGCATCTTGTTCTTACTTCTTTGCGTACGGATGACAGCTGCGTATGACTTAATTTAGTTTCTAATGCTTATACTTCCAGAGACGGTTGTAAGCATTGTGTAACTGCCTCGAGGGTGCTTGACCATTTGAACACAACGTGGTGCGATCATCCCCCTTGAGCGGAGTGAGGATTGTCCACCACGCACAACATGATCTACTCGACCACCATTATGTTTACCGCCAAAAAAAAAAGAGGTAAAAAAAACAAACGGTCACCTCGTTGCCGAGTTCACGAAGTGAATTGGCTTGTTTTACAACGTTGCCAAGCGACGAAAACCCAACGCCGGTGGCAAACACCGGGGGCGGGGGGGNCGTTGTACTACAGCAGCGACGGTGCTGAACGGTGCCGACACCCGTATAGGGACGATGACCAATATATTCGAGACACGTGGAAACAAGATGTTCGAAAGTAGATAGTTTTGTTTGGGGCGCCTTCGGACTGGAGTGCATTCCACGCGCATGTCACCGCTGGGAGCAGGAAAACATTTTTTTCTTTAGCCAGTCCGGCTTCGTCGTCGAAGCTAACCAAAAAACACTGCCAGACTGAGGTTTGCATATCGGGCAGCCGGCTAGCGCGGGCCACAACGCGATGCCGTTAGCAAGCGCGTGATTCCGATAATACTCACCGACATACTTCTTCTCGAACTCTCCCGTCACGTGCCGCTTCACGAAGGTCGTCTTTCCGACACCGCCGTCTCCGACAAGGATAAGCTTAAACTCGGGCATTTCTTGCGCCTGTTGATGACGGTAAATAAGGTCCGGCGGGGGCAGGGGAGGTGGGGTGTTCTTCATGGACGTCATACTGCTTGGAGAATGCGATGCTCGGCCACCCGGCGATAGATTTTCAAAGGGCGGAGGCGGGCTAGGGGGACCAAAGACGATCGGTCGAGAGCGGAGAAGTGCACGCAAACAATCCGGATAAGCGAAAGGACACCGCGAATGAAAATATATTGCTGTTGAGGCTGCTGACCACTGCGGAGAGCCATGCAACTTACTCTAGGAGTCATCAACACGTGTTCCTGGCGAGTGGGATACCCTGCTTCTCGAAGCAAACCTCTTCCCCCACAAAAACACGCCGTGACCAGTAGAAACGCCAGGGATGGACCCCCCCCCCGCCCCTCTGCCCCGTGTGGAGGAGAGACAGAGTGCTGCACTCGCACTGAATGTGCTGTGCTTGAGGCTTCAACATTGTGGCAACTCTGTAGATAGTCGTGTACAGGGACGACCTGCCAGGTTTTTTTGCCCACTACCAAACGGTTCACTCATTTGCTGTTGTCACCAAAGACGACAAATGCCAGCTCTTGGCTCGACATATTATATTTCCACCACCTGACGATACGTTGCAGTTCCTCTACAAGCAGTGGTTCGTCACAGCAAGAACTTTAACCTCATCCAGCAGTATTGCACGGAAAAGGGGGGAGGGGCGTACTCTTATGTTTTGCATGTCTTAGCGGTTAGACCATTGACCACGCGTCCTCGAGAGGACGGAGCATTGTTCCCACAGGACCGATCACCGATGGCCAATCGTTCCTTTCTACTTTGCCAAAGGTGGCTCAAAAATGTCTTCCCTAGTCTGTCTATCCTAACGATATCCCTTCCCGCCTTTTCAACCCACCTCCTATGCCCCAGTACAGCTACCGTCCTTTCCTCTCTATTCCATGCCTCAAACATCTCCCTGTACGTTCCATCTATTTTTCCCAGCTCAGTCACGTACACTTCCCTCTCCTTCTTGTACAACGGACATTCCGCGACTACATGAACACGGTCTTCGCATTCGAAGCCGCAATCACATTTGAACTCGTCGTCTTCCTCGTCTACCGTCCTATGTCTTCGTCGACGTTCTCGAAGGCCTATGTCCCCGGTCCTGAATTTGACCTTAAGCTTTGTTCCTGCATCCATTGGTCCATGTAGGTAGTCCTTGAACCCTATTCCTTCCTTCAACATTCCGTACACTTCTAGACCCTCCTTATCCTTGGATTCTTTCCTCAGATTCTGTTCTTCTCTCTCGGCACAAGCAACAGATATCTTCTCCTTGAACCCCTGTAGACCCTCCGTTTCCAGCGTTTCATCTTCGTCGATGTCGAGCCCCTTCCATACGTCCTCTACAACCTTGACCCATTCCGTGGGTTGTCTACCCCTCTTTTTGTTTGCCCACTTCGCCTCCCATACAATTCTCGGCAACCTCTCCTCTCCCATCCCGCACATGCGATACTGCCATGTCAGCTTCCTCGCGTCTCTTCCCGACCGTAGGGATTGGATCCCCAATTCTGCCCTCACGGCTGCATTACTTGTGCGCTTGGAGCATCCTAGGATGGTTTTCGCTGCTTTCATCTGCGCCGCCTCGAGTTCTTTCACTACCTTCTTATTTCCTTCCCATACTTCTCCGGCGTACTCTAGCGGCGGTACGATTACGCTCTTCAAAACCGTCAATTTGATGCGTGTATCGAGGTGCCGGTTTGCGAGTATTGGGTGCAGCTTCCCTGCTCGTGCTTTGCCCTTTTCCGCTACCTTGGACATGTGTGCATTCCACGAGCAGTCTTTTGCGATCTCTACTCCGAGGTATGTGTACTGGTCCACTACTGCAATCTCCTCGATCCCCCACTTCCATCTATGTTCTACTGGTTCCTCCTTGTTCTCGTTGCATACCATGACGGCACTCTTCTGAACGTTGGCAGACAATCTCCACTTATCAGTAAACTTCTTCGCCGCGTCAATTTGCAGTTGCAGTCCCTCAGGGGTGTCCGACATACCGACAAAATCATCCGCAAACAGCATTCCTGAAACCGACGTTTCCGTGTCCCCTACTTTTACTCCCTTCCGGACTGCCTCTACGACTTCCAACATATCGTTGATGAACACCTGGAACAATGTTGGGGACAGCGTGCAACCTTGTGGGACCCCCTGCTCAATGTCGAAGAATTTTGACAGTTCTCCGTCTAGCATGACAGAGCTTTTCGTACACTCTGTCATCTTCTTCAGCACTCTCCACGGAGGGGGGGAAGAAAATGGGCGAATATAGAGCCGCACCCTTCTTTCCCACCGTCGACATGAAATTGGGAGGGAGAATCCCAAAGGGGGACTAATTCTCTGTGTGATGATAATATCGGAGCTTCTAGGTAGTCCTTCTGTGTGTGTAACTCTACGGGCAAAGACCACGGCTGACAGCGGATCGGAAATTGTTCATAATAAGCACGTGCCTTACATCATCGAGATAACGACATACCGAATAAAATCAAGTGGGGTTCTAGGAGGCGGGAAAAAGAGTTAGCAGCGCCCACATTAATCAACAAAATAAATAAACAAACAACCGGTCTGCTGCCGCCGTACCCCTGTGCGCAAAAAAGGGAAGGAGAGGAGGAAGAGGGGGGGGAGTTGGTCCATCAACGGTGTTATGACAAGTGGTTGTGGTCGGCAGGCCTTCTTCCACCTCACAGAAATCAAGGCCCATTCTCCGGCAGTGGCGGGAAGGAGTAAAAACTGAGTTTTTGAATCCTGTACCCCCCCCCTGTTGTGTTTGCACACGAAAACTGTGGGTCGACACCGAAAGCAGTGTACTGCTGTAGCACAACCCACAGAGAACTGGCCCACTGAATGAAGTCTCCACCCAGGTCTTGACCAACTTCCTTCCCAAAAGGTTTGGAGGAATCTCATGAGGAGGTGGGAATCTGCTGTGCTACAGCGTATCTCCTTGTAATAAATACATAGCGTTCAGCAGATGGTTTGTTAGCTCTTTAAGCAAAGGTAACGAGAACAGTAATCCGAGACGCACTCTTCGCGAGTCCGGACAACGATTGCGTAGACCTCTCCCACTGGAAGCTCTGCAAACTGGAGGCACACACACGGACACACACCGCTGATGCTGCTGTTGGTGCCTCTCTGCCTACAACCGTAAGTGCCCTAGGCGGACATTTTCAAACGAAGACAAGAAAGCAGCGAGAGTAATGCTAGCCAACAAGGGCAGGCTTTCCAACATATAAACAAGAGTACGAGCTGGACATGGCAAGCACTCTGCTGCTGCCATCTTTGATGGATCGAGGCCGAGAGGACTGCTGCAGCACCACCGCGAGTCGAGTATTACTTGTGCTGAGAACGAGAGAGGATGCGATTGGGTGTGAGAGGGAGGGGGCATAAGGGGGAGGGGGGTGGGGAGAAGAGAGAGATAGCAGCAATGATGGCCACACAGCAGACCCAACTCTCAAGAGATTTCTCTGCCGCTGACAGAGATCCGCCCTCCCGCCTTCTACCGGAGCTACGCCTCTGCATCTTCAAGGACTCCACGCCCCATCTAAGCCACCGGCCTCGCTCCGAGCCTTTCGAGTACATTGTACGTGTCCACGTACACCCACCGAGCACCGACACGGAGACGTGGAAAAATATCTAACTGCGGGACAGAGGCGGAGTAGCCCCGAACGACCAGCGTTGTGCCACGTATACATCTACCTCCTCCTCCTCACCATCGTGAATTTGGGTTGCCGTGGCGCGGAGCAGTCGTTTGGTGCCTGGTTAAGTCTGTCCTCCTTCCTTTCTCTCCCTGTATAGCGTGCCTCGTGTAGCCTTGTAGCCTTTGCGATTGATTCCGCCCCCGCGCGCGGCAGCTGCAGCTTGCGACTTTCCGTCGGTCTCTTCTGCCCATGCTTTTTTTTATTTTGTGAAAAATTCATAATGCCTCGATGACTTTCCGTCGGTCTCAACACGTCCCATGTGGTTTCAAAGCAAACGGTGCTACACTCCTTACGGAGTACATGGATAAGGAGAGCTTCCGCACCACTGCACTTATGGATGCGCGGCCTTGCTCCTCTCACACACCACCTCGCCCCCTCCTGTGGGCCGAATAGTTTGTCAGCGTTGATACAACTGACTCTCAGCTAATCGAAGTACTGAAGAATAGTATCTGGCAGTCGACTAATGTTGCGTCAGGTTTTGGCTTGAAGGAGTTCGCCGTTTTCGAAACAAGTGCAGCACATGCAAGACGAGGTACTCCAGATGGTGGCATATTTTATCACCCGGGAGTTTAGAAGAGGGCAGGTTCAACAAAAAAAACACAATAATAGGGGCCGAGATCAGGGTCCTCACTACTGCTCAAAGTAGAACCTGTAGTGCTGGTGTAGTACCAATATATAGTCTAGTCGCTGTTGTGGAAGTCTCCAGAGAAACAAGCCTCGAGCGAAAACAGAGGTACCAAAAGTGCTGGTGGCATGTTCTGCTCAAGAGACGCAACTCCAAGAACTTGAGAACAAGCTACTTGTGGCAAGCACGGTCTACGGCTTGGTTTCAACCATCTACTTTACAGTATGTTGTGGGTTACCGGTCATGGTGCAGGATGGAAAACGCCTCTTTAACCACACCACGAGATTTCTCATTCAAGCTCATGTGTGAAAGGCACACCATGTCCCCTACGCAACAAGGCCCTCTGTGCCCAACCCTCTATTCATTGATCGCATAGGAAGCCGGCGCAAGTCAGCGGTGCTCGAGTTTACACCGATAGCCCTCCCTTTCGGTGTCGTCAGCACCGTCCTCCACCAAACAAACAAAAAAATCTGCCGCCCCACAGCTAGCACGGCCGCGGAAGAGCAACGTCCAGAATACCTTGACCACAGAAAAACAAAACCAATGAAAAGCGGGATGACATGGCTCCGACCACCTGTCGGCAGCCCGGGTAGGGCTAACGCTCTGACAGAGAAAACACGCCACAGCGTCGTGTGAAACCCCTCCGGACGTATGAGACAAAACCTCCAAAATTACGCACAGTCAGAGGTGTCCTACTACAATCACTACTACCGCAGTGCCGAAAAAACAAAAGTAGAACTCCGAGCAGGGATGTGCTATTCTTCTGCGGGCAACGTCTCAGCAACGCGTGCTCATTCGAAAAGGCGGCACAGAGCAGCGAGCGGTGAAATAGCAACATTCCTGCCACGAAACCAACGATCAAGCTCCTGCCGTGCTCCTCAGGCCCCAAGAATCCCCGCAAACACACTTCTACACTCCTGCCAGATACCGCGGCGAAACAACTGCCTGCGTTCGCCCTCTGCCTCGCGTACGCCCATACACCCACCCACCCTACTTCCAAAGGAGCACAAGCTTGACAAACATTTCATACCGAAAAACAAACTCAACAAAAAGGGCCATGATCGTCGTAAGATAACAGAAACCGACAGAGAGCGAGAGAACTCAATTCGAGCGATCTCTCGAAACAAATCTCTACCGTGACTTATCTAGATCTAGACGGTGAGGATCTCGGCCTTTTTCTTCTCTAGCATGCTGGCAATGCCGGCCTCCGCATCCTTCGTGCACTTGTCGATCTTCAGCAGCGGAGCCAGTGCGCGCAAGCCGGCGGTTAAGGCATGCGGAGGGGGTTGGCGAGGACAAGCGTGAGGACAACGAGTCCCCAGTCAGGCACGCCAGGAGGCGGGAAGGCGACAGCCACGAGCGGGTATGCATGCATGTATACTATAGGTGGATTACGCTTCTTCTGCGAATATTTTCATCAATCAATCCACGGAATCACAAAGATCACAAGCTGCACAGCTACGCACACGACATGGCAAACTTCTGTTCATTCGCATCGTATCCCTGTACAACCGCAATCGGAAAGGGCCCGCGTTTTTGCTTAACGGGGCCAACGGTTGCAGCATGTGCACGAATCACACGCCGCCGCAGACAAGGGGTTCCGCGTGTGGCAAGCACACAGCTAGTTTTATTGAGTGTTACCGTACTAGCGAGAGCGAACACACAGGTGTGCGATTGGTTAAAACAGTTCGGTTGCTCTTACGACCCAGAGGGTGTCAAATCCGACCGACACGTGCAAGGAAACCTCTCGACGAGTCCATTTCATATGGACATTCTTCAGCAATGGCAGCCTCTCTCTCTCTCTCTCTCTCTCTCTCTCTCTCTCTCTCTCTCTCT